TGCTTCCAAACCATAATTAAGAATTCACATGCCCAACCGAATTGCCTGATTGCAATTTGAGCGGTTTTAACAAATTAAAAAAACTTCTTTATATTTACATTCAACCTTTAGTCAAGCGGTGACAACGTAAAAATGATGCTTGAGTGGTTTGGCAATTCACTGGAGCCAGGAGCGTGCGAAGCTTCACCCGCCTAGCTGCGCGTGTCGTGTCTTCGTGTGTATTCGTATGGTTGCACTTGCGGTCGTTTTTTTGTGTTTGTTTGTTTGTTTAGTTCAGGCGAGCTGAATTTAGTCTCAAATGGAGCAGTCTAGATACAAAATGAGTCTGTGAGTCGTCTTGAAAGGTTTTCATCAGTCCAGGGTCAAATGTGAATATATGCGACGGCGCGAACGTGTCGCAAGCGGTCGGTGTCGTATGTTTTCGGCACTCTTTCTGTCGAAAAAACGGAAGAATATTTCGATTATTTCAAGCAGGGCAAGCAAGTGCTGGTACCTTTTGAAGATACTGTGAATTTTTTTCCTCAACCATAATATTTAGGTATATTGTTTCATTCATGGTTTGATTGTGCTGTCGCAGTTGCGATTTCTGGTCGATGACGGCATTTGTCTGTTGCTCACAAGCTGTTACAAGCTGTTGTCAATCTTTTGATGAACCTTTAATGAACCCTTATTACACCTTCGTTCATTTCCAACTGGAGTGGACGAAATTAGAAGTGGTGGTGCTGGTACACAGAAATCGATGCAGCAGTTTAAATGCCTGCAAGATTCTTCGTTTTTTTCAGGGTCGTGGCATTTGATTGGATTTAGGCAGCAATAAAGTGAATATACTTGAAGGTTTTTCTGCCGATTTGGCCTCAAGCACATTCGGCGAGATTGAGCCTATGATCGGCATAAGAGCAATTTTGGGTTTATTCTTTGCAAATTTGTCTACCAGTTAGTACGGCTTTTGCGAAATCTTGGTTGTTGTTCGCAAAGCTAAGCAGCGAAACTGACAATTATAGAAACAATAGGCAACTACAGCAACGTGGTTTAATTTTGTTTTGCTCTTAGGAGAGTGCCATGTTGTATATTATTGCGATACTTGTCACATATGGTTCTTGAGCACACAAAAAATTGTCGTCCGGGCGTATAGTTATTTCAAACGCGAGTGACAGAAATCACCCCCCCCCCACCTTTTTTCCCCTTTTGACGGCTCACTTTTGATATCGCACTGCGTGTACGATACATCCGCACCATTTAAGGTAAGTTGTACACTCACGACAGTTGAGTATTCCGCCACGTAATATTCATGTAAAATTCAATGATTGTTCGGGTTGCACGAGGCCGGTTCGCAGCACAACTCAAATGTGTCACGCCGGTCAACCCGCTTTGAAGTGATGGGTTTCTCTGTCCGCTCTAATACTGCTACATCAACTACAGTGAGAGCCGAGTTTCCAGGCTTATTGATTTGACCGAACCCATCATATTAATATACAATAAAATGAAGCGAAAAGAACATATGTGGCTATGCGAGTTGTGCTTAAATGGTTTGTAACGGCCAGGGGTATACTTCACCGCTTATGTTGGGTCGTCAATCTAACCGTGTCCGATTGTCATTTGGCCGGGTGGAACACTAGGCATTCCGAGCATATTGCGGCACTTGCCGATATAGACCTTGTCACGTAACACAAACGATGTGTACCATGAAGCCACCGCGAACGTTGCACGTTTGGTGATGCATGTCACATATACTATTCAGGTAGAGTTCCTTTATTTTTCATGCATTTTCTAGAACAATCAAATGGGCACAGTAGTTTCCCGTTGAATTTCCACTAGCGGGCATTGTTATAAAAAATGCAGATCCCACGTACAGTGGGAATCGATGATATGCGAAACATGCATTAGAAGGGTTGATACGTCACTTTCAAATCAGTACAACATTAATGGCGGATGCAAATTATGCCGTACATGACTTCCATGTCATGCTTATCATGGTTGCGCCTGGCATCTGTATTCGTCGTTTATTGAAGTCACTTAACACCTAATTCGGTATATGGGAAGTTAGCGAAACGGCCGAAAGCGCACTATAAGCGTAGCATGTAGTCATGACTTTCATGACATGCATGTCATAATTTCCACGTTATAGGGTGTGTCACTTAAGTTCACAATGCAGTCATGTCATACGTATTGCATACCGCTTCCTTGTTGTAGAAGGAAGAAGAGAGGAAGGACAGGGATGTTAGCCATTCCTTCTATTGCGGTAGAGCGTGTGTGCATAGGCCAGGCCTCAAAGAACCTGAAATGTCCGTCACATCAGCGGGAAGAGACTCGCCTGCTCGACTGCAGAGAGTGCGGTTGCTCGCCAGTTTTTAACGATACCTAGCAATGAAATAAATCCGAGAGGGAACTGATGAAAGCATATATCGAAGTCCACGATATGCGATAGGGAGCTGTCTGAAGTATATAAAATGCAAAGAAAAAAAATGGTCCTGATTGTATAGCTTCCATAGCGTTATTGCGAAAAGACGCTGATCATCTTTTTAGGCAAATGTAATTTAGAATATATCATGATCTGTGTTAAATCTTTATGGATTTTACGGCGCATGGGCACATGTTGGTTATTAATTATGTGATTGTCTCAAGCGCAGTGTTTTCATCTGTACTAGCTGCATCACGTGTAGCACATGTTCGTCTTGGTTTTCTTTTCGAACCATGTTGCTTCATTAAAAATACCGACGTCCAAGCTTGCATGTTGAATCTTGTTGTGTGCACGCGTCCTTCAAGGCTGGGTTCGTCGTTATTTCGAATAAAATGCCAGCAGGTTACCGCCATGAATCTTGCGAAACATGTGCAAACATGGTACCAAAAAAAAAAGAATGCTGCACATTTGTGGAGGCAATAAACATGCATTCCACATACCGCGGTGGCACGGTGCGTGTTCGATCCCAGCCGCGGTTATCGCTATTTGACGAACGCTAAACGGTTGGTCAAAACTTCCTCGGAAATTAATGATGCACTGTACATGACTTGAGATGAGTACTCCCCTCGCCTCTTTTTCTTCATATTTTCAGTATGCATGCTCAAAAACAAAGCATTTGAGAAGCGTCTGCCAATTCTCTAGCTTCTAGTAATCTCATACGTAATTTTCTGCCGCTGCCGACACAAAACGAGCCCAACGCCGCCGCTGGTCGAAACCGCCTCGCGCGCACCTCTACATACATGGCAGTCGAAGTATGGTCCCTAGAATATACTGTATATTCTAGTGACCATAGTTATAGTACACTGTACCATAGTCGGAAGAGAAGAGCAAAAGCGCCGCCCGTCGGGGTAACGAATACAGAGTCTCGATAAAGATAGAGTGTGTTGAAAAAAGAAAATAGCCAAGGAGAAACTTTATTTCTAGCCATTATGGCACAACTTTGCTTTATTCGTGCTTAGAGTGGGAATATAGTTTCACACATGCAAAATTTGCTGAATTTTCGCTCCCACCAAAACAATGGCGGGCGCTTTATATCCAATACCGAAACTAGTCGAAGCGTCCGGGGCCTGGTTTGACTGCGTTCCCTCGGTGTGAAGCATATTAAATTATCAGGATGCTGCGAGTGCTCGCTTCCCGCACCCGGATGGCAGCCGCTTTCGCCAGAGAAACTGCGCTGCGCCAGTTGACCTCGGTGAAAACCGTGTCGCTCCGGGAGACAAATCGAAAGGGAACAAACGGAAAGCTATATATAACCGGATGCGCCTGCCCATCTGGGATGACGGCAGAGACGACTTGTACCACACGTTCGCACAGTCTGCTGCTCACACTTCATTTAACTCCGACAGTGCATGCTTGCGCTTGGATCTGCTCCTGTGCGTTTCATGGCGGCAAAGCATAGATCTGAGCGAAATGATTGTGCAGACTATACCATTCGAAGCAAGAGATGTCAATTTAAAAGTAATGAAATTTTCTCAGAGTTACTGACTTTTACATCACAAACATGATGCCACATTGCCTCAAAAAACTCCACGCGTGCAACAGTAACTTCTAAAGATACACTATCGTGTTTATCACTGCTAATTTGCAGCGACAAGACATAATTACTCAATGCAATATCATGCCATATTGAAAAGACGTACACGATCACAAATGTCATACAGCCTTCTAACCCAGATGTTGTGCTCAATCTTGCACAAGGGCCTTGTTCAACGGGCTCTCCTCACACCGGAACATGCCGGACTGTGTGCGCTTGCTTGCTCGTTAATGCCGCGCACTCATGACCGCTCCCGTGCGACTTCAAAATCGGCGTCCTTGGTGAAACCGGCAGCTATTTCAGTGATGCTTGTTTTTTTTTTTTTTAAAAGAAACTCAGATACAGGCCTGCATTCCATACTTTGCGGGCAGGAAGTCCGATCGACAATTGCCAATCCTTGCACAAAGGCATTATTCGACGTGCCGTAACTCAAAGCGAAACCACATTATGCAACATGTGTTTTTTTTTTGTGAAAGCTGATGTACGAGAAAAAAAGTGGAGTAAGTTTGAGAATTATAAAAAACTGGTTTTGCTTTAGTCGTCGTCAGAAGTTTTCATTGCATGCTGTTTTCTTGAGGTTCGTGCAATTTTGTATCTTTTTATTTAAAAGTGTTAATAATATAAGCTTTGAAACGTTTATAACTAAGAATGCTGAAAAAGCAATGCGGAATTTTGACATCTCTGTCGTAGGCCCTTTTTAAAATGAAAACCTCCAAAGTAGGCAGAAAAAAAATTTTCTTTCTGTGTCAATTTTGATATCTTTCGTAACAAAATCTACGCTGTTCAGAGAAGCGAATAATATTTGAACGTAAGCGAAAGTATGTATATATTTACCTAAACAAATTTGAGGAATGTAGTTCTAATACATTTTTTTGTAATTCATTGCCGCATTCGGCAAAAAAAGTAGCAGAGCGGGCAAGCGCTTACTCTGCTTTAAAAAACGTTTTCCGCCAAAACCGATATCGGATCTCTCCTATCCATCCTCTAATCAGGTAAAAATATATTAAATATTTGATAAATTTAAGATGTCGACCTGCCATGATTTGTTCGATCTTACATGGAATCACCCAGTAGTACTTTTCTTCAGGCCATCCACGGTGCACTCAGTGATTACGTTGTTCGGCTGTGGACACGAACGACGCGGATTGAATTCCGGTCGCGGCTGTCACATTCTATGGAAGTGAAGTGCTTGAGGCCCGTATATTTCAATTCTTTATAAGTACACGTTTAACGGGTCGAAAAATGACGCAGAGCCCATTTACCACGGTGTCTCTTCTTAGATGCCTTGAGGCGTAAAATCCCATAAACAAACCATCTTGCTCCTTGCAGTGCACGTGCTACATGGTAAAAAGACACTCCGATGACTCAACTGATGGAGATTTTACTGAAAGCTCGACATATAAATTGTCAGGTGCTTCACTGTGCATCAGATACTTCGAGCCCCGTCGGAATCACATAGGCCATGTGGAATATGTTTAATATAATTTTGCTAGTTATTACACGTAATTTGTTATTAAGACCTGCCGCTTCCAGCGGGATATAAAATTGCAGAAATGGAATGACCCGTGACGCCAATGCATGCTTAAAAATCTGGATATGGTTGTGTGTTAGACAATATCAAGCTCATCGCTTCATTTCCGTACGCGCTAAAACAACGCAGGAGTCACCGACACCTGCGCCGTTGACGCTTAGAAGTTGATGAGCACGGTCCACTTCGAGCTACGGGCTGTTCATGGAGAACCTCCGCTTCCGCAACAGGCTGGGTAGATTCACCAGTATGGCACCGCTCCGCAACTGCAACAAATGTCCACATGCAAGTTATAGATTCATGAGCGATATGTGATTCTGCTATGAGCTGCCTCTAAAGTAGGAGGAACACTTCCCGTCCATGTGATGTCCATTAATCAAACGGTTTCGTCCACTGTACGAATAATGATTGCTGTCATTCAACAGATGGCAGGAAAGGGAAGATGGAAGCTCGAGAGGGAAAAATTGGGGCTTTTTGCGGGAGACATTTCGACACGTGCCCTCCTTGAGGCTAGTTCTAGCTTTGACGAAGAAAAGTCCACTTAGCGAAATGTTGGCTCGAGCTTCCAACTCTGGTTTACGGATTACTGTTATGTACGATAACTCAAGCCCCTGAGCTTTTTACAGCGTTTTATTTTCTCGTTTTTTTTTCCTGCCCTTTGCCCATAGACAATGCCTTGGGGTCCCGCAAGTTTTCATATACCGTGTATTGGGACCAGTGACACTTTTTGTGCGATAGTATCATGTTATCTATTTTCTACGTGATATAGCTCTTGCACGCGTCAGTTCACTTAGAATAGCACAGATTGCGTCAGTTTTACGTGCATACTCACCTCGTCAGCGTCCAGAGCGCTGCGGCTGTCTGCGTCCCCTTGAAACTGGCTCCGGGAGCGATGGTGACTCCTAGCCGATGCGTCCAGTATCCTCTGCCGCAGCCTAGATATCAGGTTGCGCGTCCTGTACTGGGACCTCTTTCCTCCACAGCCAGTGAAGGCGTTGCAGAATGGCCGCTTCTGCTCCGGCTCAAAGCGCTCTTCGCTCACGTCATCCTGAGCAACAGATGGACATAGACATATAGTGAGGTGCATATGCATGCGCACGGGAACCTCCCCCCCCCCCCCCCCCATAATGATCTAATGGGAGGCGCCAAATCTGCCTTACACCGTTACTCATTCGGTCCTTTCATGTAATTTTTTAGGGGTGAAGCTCCTTATGCTGTGGGTCATGGCGTCCGCGATGTATGGAGTAGTCGTCGTCGTAGTAGTAGTAGCAGGTATCGCCACCTCTCGTTTAGTCCTTGGAATGTCCACCGGATGGCGGTACTTCTATATGATGAATATATTGTGACGATGGAACGTCGAGGTGTGTCAATATGATGAAAAGATGCGAGATGGCAGTACTTGGAGTGTTCACTAGATGGTCGGACGGACGGACCGATGGACAAGCAGACGGACGTACGCGTGGACGGACACTCAGACGGATGCACGGACGGACGGATGGACGCACGTACGGACGCATGGATGGACGCACAGACGGACGGACGCACGAACGGACGCACGGACAGAAGCGCGGACGGACTGGCGGATGCTTTGCCCTACTCGTCATTATTCAGTCCATGGGTATGCTGTGATTTTATTTTAATGCGTCAAGCTATAGCCACGCATGTTTTTGGACGATAATGGTGGCCAAGCACCACAAATGTTGCATTCAAATAACTGTTTACTGCTTACCCTTACCCCAGAATTCTAGGAATCAATGACAGGCATTCGTGAGAAGCACGTCATCGCTTAATTTTGTCCTTGCATCTGTTGCGGAGCTAACTCTTTTCAGCTGTCGACCAAAGTCAAGGGAGGTGGGTGGAGCGCTGCAATAAATTTGCCCCCACCCCCCTATCTCCATTGGAGAACCCTGTGCCCGCCCTTGGGAAGGTGTCGTTCTGGCGCGTTTGCTTTGGTATGGCAGGAGTAAGAGAAGCGTTATTAGTAAAAGAAACCGTCGACGCGGCGCTTTCACGTTTAGATACATACCGGACGCTACAATTACAAGCACAGCGATCCCTGAAAACATGCATGTATAAGTTGATCTCAATTTTTTTTTTGCATTTCCGCACTGCTTACCATGTGTCACATGCATTAGCACTATGAACATTTCTGGCTTTGTAGATCAGTTTAATGTGTAATCGTTACATTCTGGGCAGGTTGGTGGTATAGTGTATAGATGAACAGCCGTATGGGGCCATTCGTGAACAACTGCACCGAAAAATGTATACAAAGCGAGGGCTCCACCGCAAATGCGAATTTCTGTTTTGTTAGGGCACGCCGCTTCCAACCTAGCAGGTAGCTGTGTGGGTCGCAAGGACTGCAGGGTGGAATATCTATCTGCAGGCTATGTTCTCAGACAAAGCTGTAATGTGGCTTTCTCGGAAATTTCGGGGTCCGCAAATTTTTGGAGATGAGGGTACATTTAAGCTAACAAATGAAAACTTGGACATCTTAAGTTACATGGAATATTCAAGCTTGCCTCGCCGCGGTGGTCCAGTGGCTGAGGTACTCGGCTGCTGACCCGCAGGTCGCGGGATCAAATCCCGGCTGCGGCGGCTGCATTTCCGATGGAGGCGGAAATGTTGCTCGTGTGCTTAGATTTGCGTGCACGTTAAAGAACCCTAGGTGGTCTAAATTTCCGAAGCCCTCCGCTACGACGTCTCTCATAATGATAGGGTGGGTTTGGGACGGTAAACCACACATATCAATCAATATTCAAGCTTACACTACGTATGGAAGCATATAGCGTGAGCTGTATGCGCTAGCACGTTGACATGCTACAGGGGCAGCCCGTGCAGACGATCAATGCGTCGTGTAAACGGGGTTGCCGCCTACCATATATATGCTGGTTGGCATTGGCGTCAATAAATGAGCTTTACACCTTTGTGCGGTGTTGTGGCGGCTGATTAATAACTGTTCACCACAGTTGGATAAGCTATCGTAAAGCATCTTGTCACAAAGTGCCTTCACGGCTACAGGAATTCGCTCGCGCTATCCTTTGAGCATGCATGATAGATGATCTCTCATATTCTATGCCACGACAAGCAGGTATGTGCAATAAGCACTTTCATGGACGCAAAACAAAATGACATTGCCATTTGTGATCGTTACATCATGGTTTGCTTTCAATGGATCGATCAAATTGTATATGGTTCTCAAGTGCGTGAACAGATACTTGCGTGATTCTTTTCTTCTATGGCTTAGGTGACCATCTTTCATGTTCAGGCGAGAGTGCGGAGCTGATGCCCGTATAGAAATTATTATTATTTTTTTTGCGTTCGCTTCTCGTGTGTGTGCGTGCAATATGTGAACTCCAAGAAAAATAAGAATCATTTGACTCTCTTTTGAGAGTTTTGGCTTGTCCCGTGTGTGACTGTCTTTAAAAGAGGCACGTCAACTCCCTTTGTGGCTCATTACAGGGCCGTAACGGGAGGGGGGAGGGGGCTGAATGGTTTGGAGATTCCACGAAATTTTTTCATTCTTTAATTTTTCAGGTTATACTAAAGAATTCAAGGCCCTCTCATCGACTACCAGTTGTTACGGTTAACCGTTCTACACATAACCACCCCCAAAAAAATTCCTTAGTATGGCTCTGGGTCAATATCCTCTTTTCTGAGAGTCGTATGACCTTCAAGAGAGTTAGCGTGTCTTTTTAAAAAATCATACACATGGCAAGTCAGAACTACCCGAAAGGAGTCATAGATACTCTTTTTTTTTCTTAGTGTGGGTCTGAATATTTTATTACTTTCTCCCCCCCCCCTTTTTTTTTGCTTTATTTGTGAGGTAGCCCGCGTTCATAGCGTTTTCGTGTTTTAATAAAGAAATTAGGGCTGGCCACTCTACATACAGAGACCGTGATGAAGCCCTGCAGTGAAACGCAGCTCCCCACACGAACTTCTGATCTTACCTGCTTGGCAAACTTGCAGTTATGGCCCCATAACGGAAACTTGCGACTGTACGACTCACCGGCTTTTCTTGTGCTTCCGTCAAGCAGACTGAAAGGACGAGGACGCCAAAGAGGAGCAACCCAGTTGTAGACATGATTGATGTACCCGGCCTTGCGCACTTAGATCCTGCAAAACGCACACATTAAAGTAGCTTCATCATTCCCGATTCTCTCCCTCAGCGAAGTTCTTTCTCCCTTAAAAAGACTGCACGAAAAAAGTTGGCGCAGACCCTTTTGTCGAAATGGGTCTCGAGAAACACCTGCCACCAGAAGACGCAATTTTGATGGTTCCTTTTCACGCGTCTCTCAGAATACCTATTGTGTTTTCTGGGGTGGCATTCTCTCGTGACGGTATTTGCCTAATCATAGACGAAAAATGCAGTGTGTTCTCACGACAAGCGCTGCATGCGTGCACCACTAATTATTCGCGACGCGCGAATAGTGACGTAATATATATATATATATATATATATATATATATATATATATATATATATATATATATATATATATATATATATATATATATATATATATATATATATATATATATATATATATATATATATAAGGTAAAGAAGTGTATACCTAAGGGCTCGTTTTCCTTTACGTGTTTTAACACAATAATAATGAGATCTAACAGGCAGTAATGCCAAGGAATGTACAGGGGAAGTTAATAGAACCAATGGAATGTAAATAAGAAGAAAGAAAAGTGGATGCAAAAACCAGCCGTGGGCACGGCTGGTTATTTTTTCATCCACTTTTCTTTCTTCTTATTTACATTCTATTGGTTCTAATAACTTCCCCTGTACATTCCTTGGCATTACTGTCTGTTATATCTCATATATATATATATATATATATATATATATATATATATATATATATATATATATATATATATATAATTACAGGGTGTTTCAGCTAAATATTACTAATCAATAAAAAATTAAAAATGAGTGATATGTGGCTTCAGCTAGCGCAGTATTGTTCTTAGCTGTATGTAGCATGTCAGAATATATTTTTTGATCCACTAAGCACGCTAGTTAACAAAGATTGCCTATTGAGCTTCTTAAATACTGACTCTAGAGAAAAAATGTCAATACAACACTTGTAGCTCTTATCCAGAAATTACAAAATTTTAAAGTTACGGTAAGATAACAACGCTGGTAATTTTTTTTCCAGGATTTGATTAAAGTGCGCGAAATGAAAACACGTGATTACCGCCTAACGCGCGGCGCTTTGAGTGCTCTGCAATGTAAGTTGAACGAATTAGCGAAGGCTTCTCACAAACGAAGATCGCTTGAACAAGATATTGGTGACTACGATGGACATTAAGCGAAGGTTGGATGTTGCCATTAAAAAAAAAGGGGGGGGGGGGAGAGAAGAATGACGACAATAAACAAAAGTGGCTGCCACATGCATTGCAATACGAGGCCAGTGGTAGCAATCGGTGCAGCGCAGACGTTTTTTTTTTCTGTACGTGTACATAACATATGTGAAATTTGAAAAATTCTGAAGTGGGGGATAGTTTGAACCCCCAGTTCTTTTCCAAGCTACTACTATACTACTACTACTACTACTACTACTACTACTACTACACTACTACTACTACTACTACTACTACTACTACTACTACTACTACTACTACTACTACTACTACTACTACTACTACTACTACTACTACATGGCTACGCCGGAGGTGGTGCGGATGGTGCGGATGGTGGTGTTGGTGGTGGTGGTGATGCCAACTACTTTACTTAAAGGTTATTGGTGATGGCAACTACTTTATTTAAAAGTTTGTGGCGATGGCAACTACCTTACTTAAAAATTTGTAAAACGAAAAGTTCAAGGACGCCTGAGCTTCGCCTTCAAGAGTAGAACGCAATAGCGCGTTCGCATCGCCTCCTCAATCGCTATAGCCTCTCGGTGGGCACTTAAACCGTGTCGCAAGGAAAGGTACATCTGTAATTAGGCCCTTACAAACTATCCTAGAATTCCTACAGCAAGTACAGTTCGGAAGTACCCATTGCGTTATATAATTGTTCCTTTTGCGAATCAGTGAAGTATATTCATATACGCGTCCTCAAGGCAACACACGTACCGGCAGTTTCTCACTTTGCCGATGCTTTTGCTGCTGATGCTGATTAAATATGTCCGATTGCTTTGTAATGGGTTGGCCTTTGAACTTCTCAGTCGATGTGCACTTCGCATGTGTTGAAGCCTTGCGCGATTCTACATTTCTGCCACGCAACATAACATGCGCTATGGAGACTCCTCGCAGTATACATGACATTCGTATAGGGTTTCTTTCGAAAGCAGTTCCAATACAGCGTGACTCTGTGGTAGAACGCCTTCTCTCCACGCAGGAGGCCTGCAGGTGTTCAAGTGTCGCTCGAACCGTATATTTATTATCATTGATTTATTTGCATATATCTCGAATTTTCGCTCACAACCAATAACACGGTCACCGACATCGGAATTTCGGCGAAACGATTGAAGTGTATTGAAGCTATCGCGTGAACGAAAGGGAAAAACTGATTGCAGACGGAGTATTATGGCGCTATACATATATGGGCAGCCGAGGTAACTGGCAGAGTAAAGATGATTCCAGAGGAAAACATTAAAAAAAAACTTTTAGAACAAATGTTTGCCGACTTAAGCAAGCACGTGAACAAACAAGATGAGAGAGTTTGAAACGAGCAATCTTAGTTCAGATGAAGTTCAAGTGAGGGTATTGTCAGCGGCACCAAACACAGTTCGCAATATTGCAGAGATGATTCCAGAGGACAGCGTTAAAAAAAAAAGCTTTTAGAACAAATGTTTGCTGGCTCAAGCAAGCACGTGAACAAACAAGATGAAAGAGTTTGAAACGGGCAGTCTTAGTTCTGATAAAGTTCAAGTATTAGGTATTGTCTGCGGCACCACACACAGTTCGCAATATTGCAGTCACTTACATTTCCACATACTTGTACACTCTGTAATACAATGCGACAGTGTTAAAACACCTAATCATTATTTTCTCCCAAACTTAACTTCGCTATTTATTGTCGGTTGCGACTGCTGATATAAGACTAACCTGCTAGTAAATATTTAAAATTTTAGCTGGTATTGTAGTTTTAATATAAATGCAACCGGGCAGTTGATTGCCAGGATTTGTTCCAATATGCATGGCTCTATGCATTCTGAAAAGAGGGACAAGTCACACAGCATTGATCTGATATGCTTCTAGCCGCAGAGGCACCATGACCCAGATATGATACTTGCCCGCAGTAGTTTTCAGCTGGTATCTACATCATACCAAGTCATTTCGTGCGCTATACGCGTGGAATCATTTCTCAAGAAATCAATACAGTGTGTGCGTGTGAACAAGTATAGGTACAGACCCAGAAACAGCAGATGATATATAAGCCATTTTAAAGTCTGCAGGATGTTGAGAATAGTAAACGCCGACGTCCACGAAGCTTCGGCTAAAGCTGAAGCTTCTTTGAGGTAATGTGCCGATTTCGAAAAACGTCATCAAAAGTCTTTTCACTAGCGCGATTACAGATTGCAAGGAGCGCTTCAACGCACCGTTCTGCTTTTAGTCGATCAGTGCTCTGAAAATTGCCAGTGGTCCTGCAATAGTTCCACTCGGCCACAAGAGCATTAGCGAACCTTTTGTTCTTCGTTTAACAATTGCTTAAAAATATTTTTATTATTTTCTACAGTTTAGACACTGCCCAGCCCTTTTAGAGTTATTTAAAAGATAATTGCAAAGGAATCAACGTTATTTTAGCCAATGTGGCCAGACTAGTGTGTCCACAGCAGATCGAATTTGTACTTTTTTGAGAAGGCGGCTGCCCCATCTCTCCTTTCGCTCGCTCTTGTATCGGGCGCACGCGGACGTTGGCCCCCAACAAAGAAACTGTGCACCCCCCCCCCCAAAAAAAATTTAACATATTCCCAAAGGGAACCCTGATGGGATGCGAAGCAGCGGCTTTGCGCACGCACGCGATCGGCGTTTTTGACTCGCGCCTCGTCGGTGTCGTTGGTCTTCCGCTGCCGACGCTTGCGTTCCGTTTCCCTGTCTCGCGCCTCGTCGGTGTTGCAGGCGCGACGTCGCGATTCGCGAACGCGATCGGCTCTGCTAATCCTCGCAACGCCGGTGACTGCCGGGTTAGGTGCATGTTTCGGCGGGTGAAGGAGCTTCGCTTTCCGGCGTCCTTTTCATCGCAGATAAACGAGCCAAAAGTGTTCACTCGATATGCACTCGAACGTTAAGAGCGGTGAATAGGGTGAAGCTAGAGAGAGGTGACACGCAGCGAGCGCGCGGCAGGCGAGGGAGAGAGTGATGTCACCGCGCACTGCGGGGAAAGACATAACCTACTTGGCACCGCCCCAACACCCGCGGCGAGGGGAGTGCTGTGCGGCGCGTTGGCACGAAGACACGGACGGACAGCACTACACAGGCTAGTCAAAGAGCTCCTTTGTATCTAAAACTTGCAGAACATTCTTTTATTGGATGCGAAGCAGCTCTTTGACTACTTTGTGTAATGATGTCCCTCCGTATGAACGCTCCACAAGTGTTGGCACGGTGCCAAGTAGGTCACGCCGCTGCCGCGCGTCTAACACGCCAGTTTCCTGTTTTATTTTCAAGTTTATTTCGTTATTGCTGACCAGTGGGGGGAAAATGCGCTTACATGATTATGCGACCCCGGTATGTCATACACAGAAAAAGAAATCATTTGTATTATGCATACGAGTGAGAACTGTTCGGAGGCCAGGCAGAGATGGAAAGAGATGAAAAGGAAAATACAGGGAGGCTAACATGGTAGAATAACTGGTTTGCTTCCCTTTACAGAAGCGCAGAATAAGGCGAATGTAAAGAGGACAAACAAAATGAAAACAAAGAAAAAGAACAAATATCCGTTCAGATATCTTACTGCCAGTATCATAGAGGCCCGCGTTTAAGATCTTGATTTATTTACGGGCGGCACAAAATATGAGCTTGCGAGCTGTGTTTTGACGATTTCGTGTAATTGCTAGAACGGTTTGGATACTGTGCCACGAGGTGAGAGCAACATGCATGGATCCATCCGCAAAACGATTATTTATTCTGAACTAATATTTACAGGCCCTCGCACACTTT